TTTTTTTTTTTTTTTTTTTTTTTTTGAGAACTGATGAAGACCATTCTTGGTTCTTGAAAGTCTTCAATTTTTTATACAATTTGGCTCAATTTGTTTAAGAATTACTAATCCTGGGAACAGGGAATGCTCAATGTATCACTCCAGGAATTAAAATCCAAAAGAGGGGATATATCTGCTGGTTGATCCAATGCTTGTCTTGTATGGGTAGAAAATGAAAGAGTTTTCTTGTAGAAGATACTTCCCATGTGCTGAGATACCTTTGAAGACAAAATAAACACAGTAATTAAGTCCGTGAATTCTTTCAATAACCCAGTTCAGTCTCAGTTTATAGGAATGCTGGGGTAATTGCCAGCCTGGAACAGAGAGTTGTAGTGGTCATGATTCTGATATGTGGTGGGCTTTTCTTTCTCTCAGAATCAGGTGGTATTTAGAGATTTTAATCCAGGTATCAGGGTGGCTCTGGCTTCTGATCCCCTTCCTGGGTTTGTTGTGGCTCATCTGGACTGCAATTTCATTTTGCCTGACCCTCTTGCAGTCCTACAAGAGATCCCACAGACATCCCCCCACATCTCCACCATCACCCAATCACTCCTTCCCCTGACTGAGGCTAGAATTCTTTGGCACCCATTGGGTCACCAGGAGACATAAACCAGATGGTTTTGGGATCCTACACAGGGCTTTGGTTGTCTCTGCTACAACCTGACCCTAGATGGAACCCAAGCCTCGCTGTCACAGCTCAAATTGCAGGTTGTTTCCATTCTGATAATACATATGAATTCCCAAATCACAATAGATTTTTTCCTTTCCCACCCTTTTTCTTATATACCCTGTTCTAATCCACTTTCAGAGTTTCCGTTCTAGGAATGGGCTTCCTTCATGGAACTGCTTGGTACCATAGAAGTTTCCCTTCAGTCTCTGTTTTAGAGGTTGAGACATTGTCATCTTAACCAGCAATGAACTCTTGACTGTTCCAGTCCTGGAATTCAGAAATGCTACTCAGAAGCTTCCAGTTCTGCTGCTTCAATTCCCAATCCCAAGGACCCTGTGACAACCCTGTTTCATTGGTATCTGCCATTAATTGGGCTTTCTCCCAGCTTCTGTAGGAGGCTTGTTCCGTCATGCTGGGAGCTGGTGCTTGGGGTACAGTAGCTCAGCAGGGCTTTGGGGTGGTCTGTGTTATCAGATGGTAGTCCAAAAATGAGTAGTAAACCAAAGCCAAAGAAAACTTGATTTGAGAAGAAATCCCATGAAATGTCATTGTAAGTATGCCAAGATATATAGTATCCTCACTAATGAAAAATGAATAACTTAAGAAACATTTTACCACTGTTGGGGCATATCAGGGCCACCAGCTACCTACCTTAGATGAAGCCTTTGAAAAACTAAGAAATGAAGACTCAGGCAGACAGAAGGTGGCTATGATAGAGTTGGTGGAAAGTTTACAGTTCAAGAGCTCAGACTCTAAAGGGACCTGGGGCCAAATGAAGGTGTTTATACAGTGGGAAGGTAAGCAAGTTCATAAGTGAGTGTTGATAAGGAACAAAAGACCCTTCATCTGGTGGACATCCAGGAAGCAATGGCCACAACTCATGTGACAGAGATATTGGCAGGCACCCAATTCCACACAACAGGCTGGTGACTCAGGTGGCCCAGGCCAAGGAACAACATCACACCTCTCGTGAATCAGCGGGGCTGGGCAGAGGTAATAGAAACGCCCACTGTCATCAGTAGCAGGATAAATAGGAAGCGCCTAATTGCTGTATTTGTTAGTGCTGGAAATGCTGTGTGACTCCTGATCACAAACGAGTTGCAACCTTAGGTGCAGTTGTAAGTGTTTCAACTGCTGTGTGACCTAGCAGGGAAGCACAGTGTTGGCCACGAGGCTTGCACTCGGCAGCCGAACCTGACAAAGGCCGTATCTGATTGAAAGGAGCGTAGTCAGGGGGGCAGATGCTCATCACAGAGAAAGCAGAATCAGAGAAGAGGGTTTGTGACACAGCCTGTGTTGTGAGATGAACGTATAAATAAAGTCACTGGTGAGAGGAGAACTGAGATGAAGGAGAACAAGTCAGGAGGTGGAACACAAAGCAGGCCAGAATGAAAGAATTTTGAGCTTACTCTGTAAATAGTGAAAGGCTGCTTCTGGCTGGGTGTTACGTGGACTGAACTGTGTAAACTGGAGGTGTAACTGCTGGGTTAGGAGAGGCATGGGGAGCCGGGTGATGGAGGCCATGCCTATAGTCCCAGCTACTCAGGAGGCTGAAGGGGGAGGATCCCTGAGTCCGAGTTCAAGACCACTCCAGCAAGATCCTGTCTCAACACAAAATGAGGGTGTCAGGTATGCTGGGACATTGTAAAGATAAAGACAAAAACCAGCGTGCGTGAAAGGTGCAAGGTAGATTTGAATCACTGTGAAAATGTGAGTTTTAATAAATTGCACAATGGTAGAGGGGCTCGTTTTGTGGCTTAATAAACAAAAAGTTCAAGCAGAGTTAACTCAGCAGAAGAATGGCATGTCTGAAATCCCCCTCAAATTAGACTCTTGCATTTATTCTGTGTACTCATTAGGTTGTTCTTTCAAAGAGAAAGAGCTGATTTTTTGAAACAAAAAAAAAAGATTTTTACCAACGTTAATTTCTTAATTTTAAAAACATTTATTTATTTATTTGGTGCAATGCCTCTCTATGCAGCTCAGACTGTAGTGATCCTCCTGTCTCAGCCTCCCTAGCACTGGAATTACAGGTGTGTAGCACCAGGCCTGGTTTGGGTGGCTGGCATGGCACATGGCACCGGGGATTGAACTTTAGTCTTATAGTTGCCTGATAGGCGCTTAGGCCACTGAGCTATCTCCTCAGCCCTAGTTTCTTAATTTTGAGGGATGTGCCATGTTATATGGAATGGTCACTTTGTGAAAGTTGGATGAACTCTCTGGATTATTGGATTATCTTTGAAACTTTACTGTCACTACAACTATTCCAAAATAAAAAGTAAAAAAAAAAAAAAAAAAAAAAAAAAAAGGAAATGTTAAAGCATTTATACTAGAAAGGGAATTTGTGAAATTTTTAGACAAATAAAAAATGGTTTTTGAAGTAAAATCTGAAATGTCAGTTCCTGGCATAAACATTTACTGTAACTAAGTACAGTTCCATATAAATTCTGGAACAAAGTACTTTCTGTTTTTTTGATTTTACTTTTAAGAAGGTTGTTTTTTCCAAAAATATTTATTGTCCGTTATGGCTCTTCCAAGTTTGAAGGATCCATCATCCTACAAAACATAAAAATCCCTTCCCTCAAAAAGCTTACATTCTAATGCCATAACGGGAAATCAACAGCAAGCGATGAGCCCAGCATATAAGCAGACCGCATTTGTGGCTGAAGATGCTAAGTGGTCTCGGGCGACGGAGAGCAGGAAGGGAGATATCAGGAGGACGGAGGGGCTCGGCAGCATGCAATTTTAAGTAGACTGCTCCGAGTAAACCTCGGTTGGGAAGTACAGTGGAGCGAAGATGAGGATGAGGTGCGAAGAAGGAGGCTGTGGGAGGAACATCCCGGAAAGGGCCCGCCATCGGGAAGGGCTTCACGTGGAGCACGCCCCCAGCACACCGCGCACCAGGGGCCAAAGAGCAAGAGCAGAGACTGGAAGGACACGGAGTGGACAGTGAGGCCCGGTGTGTTGAGGTGGTCACGCATGGGAAGGACAGCAGATGAAACAGGACGTGGGCTTTCACTCTGAAAGAAACGGAGAACTGCGGCGTTTTGAGCACAAGAGTGACCCAATTTGTCGTGTGTATTAAAAGACCACTATTTACTCTTTTGTGAATAGACATACTTGCCCAGACATTGACCGTAAGTGCATAATTATGCGAAATCACCATACCTGCGACTGAATTTTTAATGCTGGCCCCAGCTTCAATCCCATGGTGCCACGAAGGTGCTCCTCTGTGAGTAACGGCAGAGTTTCTCCATCAATTGCATGATCTTTAAATACCTTGTAAAAAAAACCAAAAGATGTTGGCTTTGCCCAACTGTCCCTTTAAAAAAGTTCTTGTTTTATTTACAGACATTTTAGTTTATGTAGAAATGTTCAGACATGGAGGATGACACTGAAAAACTTCCTTTTTTTGTGGTGATAGGAAATGAACGCAAGGTCTGCTGAATGCTAGGTAAATTCTCTACCATTGAGCTAAACCCTCAGCCCAAAGCTTAGTCTTAGTTACACTCTTTTCTGTACTCAAGTGGTATATTATACGTGCTCCTTAATAACACTTAGAGTAGATTGTTCTCTGCTTATATAACTCTGTTCTAACCTGGAATAGGTATTATTTTACGGCAGGGTCCATGTCTTATTTCCCAATGTATCCCTATGCAGTGTCATGTATTTATAATAAGAAGATGTGCAATAACCATTGTTGGATTGATTTATCATTGAGAGAATACTCTGAGTAAAGAAAGGTGGATAAAAGCTTTATGCTGTACTTGATGGGAGATGCTGGTCAGAGAACAGAAGAACAGAAGCCTGGTAGAAATGCTGTTGGCAAAGGCCTGGCTCAGAATGTTCTTCCTGGGAAGAAGGACCACACTGGCTGTTGGACTCCAGACAGTATGTGTTGTACTTTGGCAGAAAGTTTGTCTGAATTTTGCTCATATCTGAGACTGAGATTAAGAGCAGCAAACCAATTAATCTTGCAGAAGAAATTTCAAAGCAGTCTAATGTTGAGGCTGCAGAATGGCTACTGATGTGACTTTTTTAAAAAATCCAGATCTATTTTGAGAATCAAGAACAAAAAGCCCAGCAAAATGATTTAAAACCTTTTGAGTTTGGCCAGAAAGAAGAGGCTCCAGTAAAGCTGTGTCCTGCGAAGATAGAACAGGGGCAAAATTGGTAGCTGAAAAGATTCAAGAAAAAGCCAAGGGTTTCAGAAGAGGATGACAATACAAAGATGACCTGAGGACATCCCAAGAACCGGCAGGACTCCAGCCTTTGCAGCCTCAGAATTACTAACGTGAAAGACTTTGCTTTGAGAAGAGAGCCCCAGAGCACCACGTTCCAGAATGGTGGCAGCCTAGGAAAGTTGTTCTTCAGGACTTGGTTCTTGGGCACTCGACCTCTACAGCCAGGAGAGAAGGAAGCCTGGCTTGTGCACATGCTGGCAGCAGACCTTGGTATCATCCATGAAGCTCTGATTTTAGGTGCATGCATAATGTAAGAGTTGGGACATCAGGGAAGCTCCAACCAGATTTCAGCAGAAGGCATGGTAGGCTAGGCACCAAGCCCCTGAGAGGGCAGTATGTGAATTTCTGTGTGTGAAGCCAAAGGTACAGTGGCGACTAACAGAACTTTGAAGAATACAGGAATGTAGATTGTCTGAGGAAAACTGCCAGGAGGGAGCAGAGGGAGGGAGAGAGAGAGAGAGAGAGAGAGAGAGAGAGAGAGAGAGAGAGAGAGCGCTACAACCACTGGCAGTGCCACAAGGGCAGAGCCACTGGAGCCCTTTGGAGTTCACAACTTGGCACAGATATTGGAGGATGTTTTAACACTTGTTCTGGATTTTGGTCTTTGTTTTTTCCCATTCTTTGCTAACCCCCTGTTTGTAACTTTTGGAATGGAAATGGCTATCTTGTGCCATTGAATGTTGGAAGTATTTCACTTTCTTTTCACTTTTAAAGGGGCTTGCAGCTAACAGTGTGCCCTAAAACTCAGAGGAGACTTTGGATTTGGACTTTTCAGCAATGTTGAAACTATGAGGACTTTGACAGTTCTTAGCAATAACTAAATATCTTTTGCATAAAAGGATGGATAAGAGTCTTTGGGGACGTCAGGGTGGAATCTTATGGTTTCTATCAAGATATGTCCCAAAAGCCTCGTGCCATCATACATAGGGGATTTTTTGGAGGTAGCTGGCTCTAGGGTGTGTGATGCTGGGATCAAAGATGTCATGCTGGAATTGATTCATGGTGCAATGCTAGGATTAAGGGTGTGAGTGCTACTGGCTTATAGCCTAGATAAAATATAAGGAACAGAAACAGGGCTGCTACTGTTGCTTGCTACTTGCCTTTTGCTGCCTCCTGCCTGTTCTACCATCCCCCTCTGCCATGCCACCCTGCATTAGAACCAGCTAAATATGGACTGAACCCTCTACAAATTGTGAGCCAAAGTAAACCTTTCTTTTTTTAACTTTACGTATTGGATATTTTGTCTCAACAACCCAAAAAGTAATGAAGACACCAGTGCTATCTCTTGACTTTGTAGATGCGGTCAATGTCTTCTGTGCATTGACTAGAGAGATATGTATATGGTAAGGGGAGGAGAGGCAAGTGAGAGTGGTACCCTGGACATTTCCAGCAGTCTGTTCTGATTCATTATGGATGTTTCCTTGCCTTCCTTTCTTCCAAAGCCTGGGAAGTCTGCTGGTGGACAAAAGTTCCAGGGAGGGTAAAGAGACTGATATGAAAGAACTGGACAGATTGGTAAGAGCAGAATGTCCTGATAGCCATCGTCAAGTTGCCTGGCAGTCTCTGTAGGTTGCCTCACACACTCCTGTGTTTAAGCCTTCTCCACCCTCCAGGGTGCTTCCTCCTTTTCAGTGGACCACATAGCTTCATAAGTTAAAAAGAAAAGAAAGAAACTAGTAGATAAGAACTCCTAAATATGAACAGTAAACTTAAAAACTATCACCTTTTCCCCCACTATCCTGATTAATGAAAGAGGGGTCCCTCTGGGATTCAAAGACAATCTCTCTTTCCCTGTTTACATAGGTCTTGACCCTCCGGTGAGTTGACCCAATGCAACACATTTTGGAGCCTCACTCAATAGAAAAAAATCTCCTCTTTTGTTTCCTGTCTACTCTCTTCTGCTGGCCTTTCCCTGTCAGCATGTGACTAATTTTCCATTATTAAATGAATAACACCACCACCAACAACACATTCCATCTCTAGATTCTGCTTGCTTATGTCTGTAATCCTCCCCATGACCACATTTTTGGGTTTTTTTTATTTTAAAGAGAATAGAAAAACAATAGATAAAACAGAAACAATGCATAATTTAAAAATATAAGATGATAGGTATTCAACAGTGGTTGTTATATTGCACATGGCTGTCAATCACATTTTTTAAAAAAAATTCTTATGTACTTATTTATTTATTTGGTACAGGGTCTCACACCATAGCTCGGACTCATAGTGACCTTCCTGTCTCAGCCTTCCCAGTGCTGGGATTAGAGGCTGCCGAGCTAACTCCCCAGACCACTGTCAATCATATTTTAAAAAAGGCGCTAGATGCTGTCCTGCTTATGTTCTTACTTCCTGGTCATTGTTCAACTTCAGGACTCTGATGTGTGACCGCTTGGCTCCTTCGGTTAATGAAGGCCTCCCTGGTACCTCAGCTGCACTGTCCTAAACACTGGACATTTCCCACTTGTCAAATTCTTGGCTGTGTTTCATGCTGTTGACAGCTCCTTCCTGAATATGACAACCTCTACAGGCTGAAGGCTGCCTAATACGCATATCTTCCCCTTAGAAATGAAATCACGCCAATTCTGGTCCTCAGGCAGCGTGCTTATCTGCCTGCTCCACCGCTCTTATCTCGGCTGAAGTCCTGGTGTGGTTCATCTCAGGACTTGCCCTCTGGTCTTGTTTCATTTGGTTCACTTTCACAAAAGCAACCTGAGAGATATTTCTAAAGTCAAAAGCAAATCAAGCACCCTTAAAACCTTCACTGCTTCTAGAATAAACCCATGATCCTATCCTGGGTCTTCAAGGCTCCTTGTGATCTGGCCCTTTCTATCTCTAGCCATGCTAAGTGCTCTGTGGCTTCTAGCCCTAACTTCAGAGTCCCTCCGTAACACCTATCCTGCTTCTGCATCCTGCCTTCCCTTCCATCTCATTTTGGAGGCCCCGTCGCGAGAGACCATGACTTCATCCTGTGTGTTGCCACTACACCATGAATCCCTCACCTAGGGCACACTCCCAGTGATGTGGCCTCACAAGCAGGCTCCCCCTTCTGGGCTCCAGGCTCCAGGAGAAGAGCCACATGTATCACATGTGTACTACATGGCCCCTGCCCAGCAGGGATGTACCTCAGAACCAGCCAAAAAATAGATTTTTTTGAAATCTCCTGTACTAGCACTTGTGTTCTAGTAGAGTTGAGTCATTCACAAATTGTATTTATTAGGTAATTGTTTCTTTTCCTATTTTAGTAAGCTAATCATAGACTGGCTAATGCAATTTAATTGAGGCAAGAGTAAAAAAAAAAATAGCTGGCTATGGGTATAGCCTCGTCTTGGTGAAATGTATGATTTCTCTTAGAAGTGTCTCTTTAGAGTATTGAAAACAACTCAAAGGTCTCTTTTGGGAGCTCCTAGGGCTCAGATATCTTTGGCTGCAAACCACACGGCTCTATACCCTCAGTGCGGAGTGGTTGTGGTGGAGTGACAGATCTGTGGCTCTACTTATGTGTTCTGAACACTATTTTTTAGGCAGTATGTGGCTCAGTTCACTCAGTTACAAATAGGGTCAATAACCTTTTTTTGCAGAATTCTGGTACAAATTACATTTCAATAATAATCTAAATGGTAAGGACAAACCAAACAGTACTGTGTTTTTAAATTAAGGAATTTATTACAATAACAGATTTATTGGCATTAATTCCCCTTAAGTAGTGCCTCTCACTGCGAACACACTTATCCCATCATTCTTGTTGCTTTTGAAGCAGTTCTGGAAATCCTTTATCATGTCTTTGCAAGGTGTGATAAAAAATATGATGGATACTGCTACGGCACACCGCCCAAAGGCAAGGCAGGCTCACGGAAACAGTACAGTGTGTTCTCGTTCACTTTATTCATCAGATCTGGCACCACGCAATTTATGGCCCTTCATCAAATCAAAATGTCACGCAAGGTAAACATTTGAATCAATTCAAGATACCAAGGCAGCTGTAACAGTGTGATTCAAGACATTGTTGAAGCAGTGTCTTCCAGAATGGCTTCTTCAGGAAGTGGCAAGAATGATGGGTGTGTTCAGAGTGAGGGGGAGTAGTTGGAGGGGGCTTAAAGATAATCCGGCTTGTACTGTAATACATTAATGTTCACCAATTTTTTCAACCATACCTTCAGTGTCTGTCACATAGTCCATGCCCCACCAGGGTGTTGATCATATTAGCTTTTATAAGTGAGCGACCCCATGGGGAAACTGTTGAGTTACCCAAGACACACAGTAAGACAACTTATAAAATGAGCTATTTTTCATGATTCTGATCCAATTACTGTGCAGAAAAAGAAGTGCTGATGCAAGTGGCTGGTGTATTGGGGATGGAAATCTTGGCTTGTGTATCTTTTCTTTGCAGAGAATCCAGTGAGCAATGAAGGGACGTGTGTAAGAATCCCAAGAGGGAGAAACTTGTGGGTAAATTTCCAGGAGGTGGGCATTCAAGGCTGACTGTGTGCAGGCCTGAACCCCAACTGTGGTGAGTGGATGATGTGGTGAGTGGATGATGTAAATTTCCAGGAGGTGGGCATCCAGGACTGACTGTGTGCAGGCCTGAACCCCTTCTGTGGTGAGTGGATGGGATGGGGGTAGGGGGCTGGGCAAGAGCACAGAGCACATTCTGGTCACTGAGATGCACCTGCTTCATCTTCCTCAGATCACTTTGGGACACATGCTTGATATAAATGTGCACATATTTTGGTAAGTTCAGTTATTTTTGGAGATAGAACATTTTATGTGCTAAATTCTCTGAACTAAACAGGAGTAAAGGAAGGCATTTCAGGGCCTCCTGTATGTCCCTAAATAGCTGAGCCACCAGCCTTCTCGCTATGTCTCTAAGAGAGTTCACTTGTGGTGTGGGAGCTTGGGGTTAGCTGTGGTCTTTCTTGAAAACTTTTTTTCTTTGAATTTCTTGTTTTACCTGCAAGAAGATCGTGCCTGCAACTCACTGAGCAGCACCTAAGGCAGTAGGGAAGGCAGAGGACAGAAGCAAGGGCAGTGTCATTCCCACAAGTCCCAGGGGCGTGGCCCAACTTTGTAAAGACGGTGGTTGTGTGCAGGAGCTGATGGGACATTTTTGGCCAGGGTCTCATGAGAGTTGTGTGCCTACAGCGCAGCTTGAGGGCTCTTGCACCCAGGTGCAGCCACCCTGAGAAGCATGGAGCACAGCAGCTGAGCCTCCCAGCAGCTTGGAGAGAGAAGACTTTAAAATGTGTTCCTCCTTTAACACATGTTCAAGAGACACGTAGTAATAACTGTTGTCAATTCTACAGGGTACTGACATCTTGAGGGTGAGAGACAGCGAGTCAGCAAAGTTCGGGGGTCGCGTGTTTATGAGACTTCTGTATGTCATTTACAAAAGGACATTTGGGATTCTGTGCTGTTAATCCTCATTGTCCAGTTGACTGGATTAAGAAACTCCTGGAGAGGTGATTAGATTCCGAGGGCACTGATCCCAACATAACTGAACGGGCTATGAGTAGGTGAGGCCTTAGAGAGGAAGTGGGTCCTCAGGGCGTGGCTTTGGGGCTGTCTCTGGTCCCTGGCCCCTTGCTGTGGCTCTTTCCGACACACTCTGCTTCCTGCCACCGAGAACTGCACAGCTTTCTTTTGCTGTGCCCCTCTGCCATGTCTCTACCTGCAGCCACTGGTCCACTGAATCCTCTGGAAAGGAGAGCCAAGTCACACTTCTTGTCCTTTAAGCTGCAGGGTCAGGTATTTTGTCCCAGCCGTGGGAAAGCTGACTAATAAAGATTCTAAAATGTAGAATAGACCTAACATGATTACAAGAGTGTTTGTTGTAAACTGTACTTTCACCACGATGGGTCACTGATTAATAATAATCAATGTAGCAATCAATTTAGCCCATCAAAGCCATAAGTCACGTGCTTATGACACAAAGGGTTGCTTGTTTTTAGAATTTAATAACTATCATACCTGTGGTTGACGTAACACTTGGAAAGTGGTACAGGTGCATTTAAAAGACCTATGCCTGACTAAATCAATAGTAAAATAACAAGGCTACACCCATGAGCAGGAGGGCATAAGCAAAACAGTTTTTATCAGGTTATGCAAATGAGATCAATATTTAGTACTTAGAAGGTACAGAGTTCTCTCCACATTTTTTAAAAAAAAATTCCTAACCCTAACCCTAACCCTAACCCTAACCCTAACCCTAACCTTAACCCTCTCTTCATATTTTTAAGACAACATTTCACTATGCAGTTCAGGTTAGCCTTGAACTTACTATGCGGCCCAGGCTGGCCTCAAACTTATGGTGTTGACCGGCCTGCCTCCTAAGTGCTGGGATTACAGATGTGCACCACTACCCCAGAAACCAGGCTGCCTTTAATGATAATAGCCCTTTAAAACATACTATTATTATTATCCTCATTTTGCAGTTGAGGCACAGCAAAAAGAGAAGCAACTTCTTTCAGGTCACATATCTGGAAAATGCAAAACCCATGAACTGAATTTGTATTTTCTGGCATCAGAAGGCAAGCTCTTAGTCATTACTTTGTATGGCTTTTGTACTTTCTTTCTGCCTTTCTTTCTTTCTTCTTTCTTTCTTAGTGTCTATTGCTTTTTTGTATGTCCCATAAACAAAATTCAAAAAAAAGAGAGGACAGAAAACAAAAAGAAAAAAAATGATGGTGCTGTATTATGTTGTAGGAAAACATTTCACAAAACCGAGATCTAGAAAATATCAACTCTAGTACCAGCTAATATTAATACAGTTAAAGTCATCACAGTGGTGCACAACTGACTTGCAGCATTTGGGACGCTAAGCCAGGAGGGTCCCAGGGAGTCCAGGGCCAACCCGGAATACAGACCCTGCCACAAAACACAAGGAAAATACAACTAAGTAATAAGGTCTTTTCTTGTTCTGTTTTCCTTTAAAACAGAACACTTTTGTTGCTTAAAATTGTTATTAAATCACTCAGAAAACAACCTATGTAAAAATGTAGCAGTGACAAGAACTTCAAAAACTAGAACCTATATTTTTGTCACTAACTTTTCCAGACAACTCAGATTGATTTGCTTTCCATCTGTCTTAACAGGTTTCTTAAAAATAATTTTCAGATATATTTATATACCAGATTGAATGATGTGTATGTGCCTTTTGATATATTATTCTAGCTCAAATATAGAATTTAAAACTAGTTAAGGAGCCGGGGATGTCACTCAGTGGTAGAGCACTTGCCTCGCATGTGTAAGGCCCTGGGTTCAGTCTCTAGCACAGCAAAAAATAAAGTAAAATGATATGAAATAAAGTAATAATAAATAATTTCCTACTTTTCAATCCCCCCATCTTCTTTAGAAGGAAGTATAATATTTCTGTTACTTAGGGTGAATACCCTAAAGCTTTTGGTACCAAAGTATGTGTGCTGGATATGTTTGTTACGTGTATGATTAGGTAATCAAGCATTTTGCATCCATTTATCTTTATGACATCTGAACCTCTAATTTGGGGCAATTCCCATTTTTTCAGGAGTCTTGATGGGGCAGAAACCAAAGCTTGACAGTGACTTTCTCTGGCTCCCTTGGTGTCAGGCAGGTGGCTCACGCCCACCAACCAGAGGCTCCTGTCTCAAGGGAGATAATGACGTGAAAGGGGGGATTAGTAGGAATCCCCTCTGGAATAAAGTACAAGTCTGAAGAAACTCATTATGCAGGAAATATATTTTGAACTTTTCTAATTCGATGAAAATATTTAAATTGAGCTCACCTGTGCATAGTCAGAGCAGCCTGGAAGGCTTCTGATGAAGTCATGCACGTCATCCACGGTCCACTTCTGAAGATCTTCGTCCAAAGGAAGACTTTCCCCAGGTGGAGCCAGGGCATGTGTTCCTTTAAAACATAAAGGCAATTATGCCAGGGCATAAAATTTCCAGAGAAAAGGAGTACTTAGAGCCCAGGTTTACGTACGGTTATGTAAGGTTCCTGGAGTTCTGCCATCACAGAATTCTTGCATGCGTGAGAATTTATAACATTCTGGGAAGATACTTGGAGTCATTGGGAGAACTTTTCTAAAAGTTTTGCTGTACATGGTGGTGCATGCCTGTGATCCCATCACCCAGGAGGCTGAGACAGGAGGACCACTGAGTTTGAGGCCAGTGTAGGCTACATAGTGAATTCAAGGCTTGGCTGAGCTGCAGAGCAAGATCTTGTCTCAAACAAAACAAAATTTATCCACTGCTTTTCTTTCTTTCTAAAATCTTTTATTTATTTGGTACAGGGTCTCGCTACACAGCTAGGACTCACAGTGATCCTCCTGTCTTAGCTTCCCCAGCACTGGCTTGGTTTCAGTAGCCAGCACAGT